GTGACATAAAATGGCTTTCTTTTTCTCCCTCTTCGGCACAGTGGTCCGCGAAGGGGGGGGGGGGGGGGCAGGCTATAATCAATAGACCCCTTCTAGGTCATTTTGTTGCCTCGAGAGATGTTTCCTGGAGTATTTTTGCCCATTAAGATTTAACATTTTTAAAAGGCCTAACTCAAAATTCCACTCCAAAACTTAAGGTCATCAGGCAATTCAACGTTGATTCTGAAAATTTCATGAAAAAATATTGAGTTGAATTATTTTGAGCGAAATCAGTTTCGCGAATTAAATATGAAGTGAGATATGGGCGATTTTGTTCATTTTTGCCATCATCCAAAAATATTGATAATTGACCAATTAATGGGCTAAAATCTATCAAAATTGGTGCGTATAATTTATGATAAATAACAAATAAATCAACAGAATTTCATGACAATCGATTTTGGGCCTATTATAGCTTCGCTCTCTCTCTTCCATTACTGCATATTAAGATATTATGTAGCGTTCATGAATCATATTAATTAGGTTAGAGCTGCAAATAATACTATAAGCTTATTAAGGGGGGGGGGGGGGTCTGTTTGTGGTCTGTTTGTTTACTTTCATACGACAATGTAATGCATGTTTTCAAATATAATAGGAGGGTGTGGTGCGGAGTTAATAAGGGTTAATTTCTAAAACGATTTAAATAAAAATGGAAAGCGGTTCAAGACGGGAGTGATGAGGTGTGATAGTCCTGGTACAGGGTGTACGGACCTTATGATCATGGAATGTGATGCCTAATAATGACTTAATTATACACGAGAAAGAACTGATTATATTATTATACGATTATGTGTTACTGAATCAGCGGGTAAATAGTAAATACTCTTACCCTTTTTAACTGTGGCATTAACATTATCTAATATTACATTTGTTCGTCTAGTCTGCAAATAATGAAAAATAATAAGAGACTTTAAACATAAACAATTGTATGATCATTTATTTATACGATAAATCCGGGTTTTGTATCCTGGAAAAGCAGTTGTCAAAGAGCAACTAAACTATTACTTATGTTAAATCCTTCATCTACTCATATAGCAACCCAACTTTGACCCTTTTCTTGATTTGACTATCAGAATAACTTTAACTGCTCACTTCAGGTATTACGAGGGAACAAAAGTGCTTCACAAAGAAATGCGAGGGAAAGGAGAACAAGTTATGTCACAGTCTCTACAAGTTTGACCTGTGTGTCCCACCCACTCTCAGCCAGGAGATGCCGGTGGATTGCACCAAGAGGGTTACCTGGGACTCTCCCGATAGTAAGTTAAATTAATTATAAGTTCTTAATTAGAAATTAATTAACAACCAAATTGTATTTATTAGTAACTGTAGCCATCATGTTTTGAGCTATCGTCAACGTTTATCCATTTGCCAAATAAGTTTCCTGTTTTTGATTAAATGTACCCAATGCTACTAGTTGAATTTATTTGTAACATTGACACATTATATCAGCGTGGACACAGTTCAAGCTAGCGGATCACTGGAGACGGATATTCACCGTGTATCTGCAGAAGAACATTGTTACCCAGTATAAAACTCCCTGTATTCAGTATAAGAAGTACTTCGTGTACGGTGACATTATTAGTGTGAGGAAGTGCTGGCAAAAGAAGGTTTGTTTTATTAGAAAGATGTACTGCTCTAGGATTATTCTACAATTTAGTTTCTAGTTTTTCTTTGACACGATGAATTATGAGTCCATATTTTACTCGACCCTAAGACTTTGATAGAACGTTGTTTGATCTTCAACTCTAGTCCGCTGACTCAATATAACCAGCCTCAACCAAAGCGTTTTACTTATCAACATGTTTATAATCAATCACAATTTTTCCAGGTCGGTACGGCCACACTACAAAAGTGTCACAACCTCCACAAATTCAACATTTGTAAGATAATCTCGAACGAAGCAGGAGTTAGATCCCTGCGGTGTAAACCCCTTGTCACGTGGGGTTACCCAACCTGCTTCAAGAGGGTCCGGATAAAGCTCACCTTCTGGAAGTCCAAGTGGGAGGTGTTTGTCAGGAGGAAGATTATACCCGTCAACTCTCTAGATATGGGCAAATATGGAGGTTTGTTTAGCTTTAATAGTATGTTTAGTTTGATTTTCGCCAGATAAAATGGTTTGATTGCCCCGATACAGTTATCTTGGGAGATCAGCCTATTATAACTGGAGACTGGAGAAAGTTTCTAAAGAAATCTCCTAAATAGCATACTTTTTCACGATCTCACATGAACTTCCCAGGCTGGGTGGTATTTGGAGACGTCCACAAGAAAGAGAAATGCTTCACCAAGAAGTACGGACAGGTTCTTGCTAAGAAGTGTCACTCCATGTCTGTTTACAAAATCTGTAAACATCTTCATCTTGATAACGTGAGTAAATACAGCCACAAGAAAGTCTCTTTATACTTTAATATATTTCCAATAATCGAACTTTCGAACAATTAGTTCTTATAGTAATACCTTTACTTTCGGTGTCAATATTCTGACTTAATCACTCAAATATTTAAAATACCGTCCGTTTTGTGATTCCATACCTGATGTCTGAATGTGTCCTGCAGCCGAAGAAGAACCAGTGTATAACCATCACTACGTGGGACTACCCCAACAAGCTGAGACATGTTAAAGAGGAGTCTTACTACACTCAAGTCTTTGCTTACTACGTTAAACACACTGAGCTGGCTAAACTCCAGGTACTACTGAAACTTTCAGTGAAACTTTCTTATTACGATTAATGAGATGTAGCTGATATCTTTAATCACCATAATTTTCTATGATTTTAGTTTACTCTTCAATCATAATAGTTAACAAATTAACAGGTTCCATGTAAAGAAAAGAGAGGTTACATTAGAGGAGGATATGCCCATCTCACTCAATGCTGCTCTAACTGTTGTAAAACTGTTAACAACCAGCGTAGAGTTATGAGCATCAGAGCCACTAAGTGCTTCGACGGTTCGTTTTTTAGCCAACTTTATCAGTTTTACTGTCTGCTAGTACATCACACAAAGCTTTGCCAGTCGACCATTTGAAACTGAAACTGAAACTGTTCTTGACTCTTATTATGTGTCTGCAGGTAACAGAGGAGGTTACAACTTCAACTACTGTACCGGCACCTACAAGACTAGAATTTGTAAAGCTAACGACATGAACTCGTGCGAGGAGATTGAGACTTTGAAGAAACCAACCTGTTTCGGGGTGCGTGAAATTTTTAATCCATTTTAAAACTTGTATTGTCTGAAGAGAATACTAATTCATAACATCGTGATCTTTTGTCAACATGGGTTTATCCTCGTTTGACTATGATTACCATTGCTATGGGATTGTGTGAAAATCGTATAAATAGTACAGACAGATCCGTCTGAAAAATTGATTAACCGACACAGCGTGCGTCCTAATTTTGTAACGAGCTCTCATTTGCCAGGACGTAAAGACAGTAGACAAGGAATGGGGGGCTGGGATAAAGAAGATGGGAGTAGCTCACTATAAGAAGAAGTACCCTGACGCTTGTGATCTGTCTGAATACTACGGCTTCTCTCTTATCGGCAACAGTTAGTTCCTTCTGTTTTAAGTGCTTTTTATTTTTAAACACTATGGCGAAATAATTGGAATTTGTCCGTTTAAAAAAAATATTCACCACCTGCTCACCTCAAACGTGTTTATCCGCGTAGACGTGAAAACAAGAAAGGAATGCACGAGTGTAACGTATCGTGGAAGAAGCAAGAGGTACTGTCACACGATTCACAGCTACAAGATCTGCAAACAAATTGTAACTGGAGGGTTCAACTGTGCAAAGATCACCGCTTACACTTCACCTCAGTGTGAGTTTACAGTTGATCTCATTTGAATCTTTTGCAAATAGTACATATTCAAAACAGCGAAGAGAATAAAAAAGATGTTGTTGTCGTTGAAATGTAGTTATTTATTGTAGAATGATCGTTTATTCCGTAAATTCTTCTTCATTCCGTAAATACTTCACTTTGGTTTTGAACATTTTGTATTGATATGTTTACACCCAATATGGGCTGATTGATGAATGAATTTTTAGGCTTCTACATTCTGAACGAGCAGTTCTATATTGATGAGGCCTTCGCCTACTTTATCACCACAAAGAGGAATGGATATCCGTGTCCAAAACGAAAAGACAAGTGGTTTATCAACAAAGCTATCTCGGAGATAAAGAAGTGCTGGGAGAAATCTTACGGTACTAGTTTAACTTTTAGATTTGATATATCTTTATTTCTCGGCGGCGCGGCATCTTTCTTTCTGGTACGGGCTGATATGTGAGGTGGCGGTTTTAAAAGGGATTATTTAGTTGAAATTTAAGGTTTTGGTTGGGGAGGTGGATTGTCGTTTTGAAGTACTGTACTACTCATGAAGTACTATACACGATGTTTTCAACCCCCATTTAGTTGTAACTGACTAAAAACACATAATATAATCTTTATCACTAGACGGGAAAACGAAGAAGTACTGTCACAATCTGTGGTCTTACAACCTCTGTAAATACGGGACAGAAGAGGAGAACCACAGACTAAGCTGTAAACCTTGGAAGTCGTGGCTCTACCCCTCTGGTTAGTAAATTTGGATGACTTTTTAGGTCTGATTCATTCAATTAGAGCTTGGCAAAATTTATTTATTGATATGTTTCATGATTTAAACCAAACTGCCATACAATAACCTTATTCTTGCCTGTTTAAAGTTTAATTGGAGATTTTTGCAGGTCTAGAACACAACAAGTACATGGATACCAGTATAAAATACTCCTGGTACTTCTACTATATTGGAATCTTTAGATACGACCCAAGGGCTTGGTTTGTATATGGTGTTATCAAAAAGACCAACATTGATGTCAACGAATGTAAGTGGAAGAATTCTAAAAATTCAGACGTAGTTATTATTGTTTGAAGAAGCACGGAAAGGAACTCACACTGCAACGAGACTACAAAACCCGTTAGAGCTCGCTGTGCAGTATGTTGGAGAGATATGACCGGATAACTGATGCAGTACACGGAATTTTAGATGACTTGGAGCTAGGCAATCTAAAACTGGATGTAGAAGAGACTGAGTTAGCTCTCGCACCGTTCAAGATTGTAACTGAGTTTCTGTGTAAAAGAAGAAGCATGCTTGCTCAAGCAAAAGTGATTATTTAGTTTATTGACAGCAAGCTAGAAGAGATCTGAGATAGACTCGCCTTTTTCTCGAAGCCTGTCCGATACGCTACGTACACGATATGCCAAGAGAAAGAACCCTCATATCACTTCGTATCGCTGGTAAAGTTCTACTCGGACCCTGGTATTCTAGATGAAGATGTAGGACAAGAATACAGAATGATCACAAAGTCAACCTTGATACGTAACTCTAAGTCACTGCACCAGCGGTTGTTTAAGCAGAAAGAGACTAACAGCGATTGAGCTTCGCAAGTAGTTCGACGATTGGTCCTCAGGACTCACAGACGACTCCCACAATTTCAGATGCCAGATTCCAATCCTATCCCGCTGACAAAAGAATTATCAGACCTACATTAGGGCAGCGATTCGACTACGGTAGCAAGGACAGATACCCTTGCACGGGAGATAGGTCTGTTCACAGCTAACAGGCAGCAAACTTTTAAATTTTTTTTGCTAGAAGCAATAATTATCTTTAAGAACATATTTTGTCTATGAAATATGGACTTGTTAAATAAAAGGGCAATATTGCAATTGATTCTTTAACAAAGCAATCAGCACAAGATGTAACATAGAATAGGAGCATAATGCAAGTATGCAGAGTGCATACAAATATTACTTCAATTATATTGCCCAATTTATCGCCGATAACCGATATTATCGCGATAATTTTGAAAAAATTATCGATTATCGCGATAAAAAATTTTGTACCGATAATGGCAACCCTACTAAAAATGTACAATTATTGAAACGTTATTATCGAATGATTTCCATAAGAGCATAGATATCATGATAAATATGTGATTATCAACAACCCTCAGCTTTGTTTGTCATTCTACATTATAACAAGTTCCAATTCCCACAGACAAAGCATGGATCAGGTCATGGAAGAACGACTTTGCGTATAACCGTTACAGAAAGGACATTGCTGGTGATTATACCGCTAGTGACACCGAGGAAACTATTACTGTCTACGAGTTCAAGATCTGCAGAAAATTCAGTGAGTTTACTGTAATCATCCACAGATGTACCATCTTTCTGTAACTGGGCTCCTCTTGCTAGATGATCAACTTTAAATTCCCTTCTTACTTAGCCTTGATGCACAAAATTTAGCCAAAATCTATTTCCCTTATAGTTCGTAACACACGTCTATTCAGTGAACAAAGCAGGAGTACTGGACGTGTACTGTAAACACATTGTGTCCCGGTACCCAGTGGCCAACCTAAAGTTCCAGATAGTCTCCCTCCCCGCGAAAGCTCCTCAAACCAAGTACGGACAGTGGAAGGTCAAGAGCTCCAAGATAAGCAAGAAGTGTTATCAGACCAGCTGGAATAAGCATGTGTTCGATCTTTGTGTTAAAGTCAAGGAGGTAAGTTTAATTTTTGATGATTATGAAGAATATGAAAATAATCCGATTAAGTTGATTTTTGTTACAGAATTTTTGATCTGTTGATTTGAGAATTGTGATAGTCTGACTAGTTTAAAGGTTTTTACAAACACATTTTAGTATAATCCCTCTCCTTCCTTAAAATTCCTTTATCACTTCAGGAGAAGAAGTGCAGGCGAATATCTAAAGGGGTGGACGTTAAAGCTGACTGTTTCACCGTAGTGAAGCGTCTTGCAGAACATTACCCTGACGTGACCTTACCTAATGGAGGTTTCAATGCTGCGGCTCCTAACAATGATCATAACGGGAAGATACCGAACGGATGGAAGAACCTGAACGAAAAGAGAGTGGATACCCTAAGTGCTGATATCACCCTTCAGGGAGCCAGCATCTTGAAACCAAGCAAAAACGGCGGCACTTTCGTCCGTTTGAACAGTAACAACATAATCATAAAGAAATTGGGGACAAAGGTCCAGCACCTGCAAACTGGGCACTTATACAGGATCTTGTTCGAGCAAGCCCTGCTCTACAAGTGGGGACACTGTGAGGGACACTTCAGGGTACAGCTGGGTAACCAGGTGCAGTTCTCACCCATCATGGGTCTCCCCAGAACCTACCCCAGCATGTCACCTTGGCATACTGTGTCTCTTGGATACTACGTGGCTATTGGACCAGAGATGCAGCTCGTAATATCGGCTGTTAGAGGGCATTATTGTAACAACCCTAAGGGACAGACGCGAACCTTCACTGATCTAGTGATTGACAATGTTTATTTGAAGGATATGGGACCGATGTCCCCTGAAGGAGCGCCAACTTTACAAAACCCAGCTGTGTCACAGCAAGGTGGATATACTGGGTACACTTCTACAACTCAGCAGAAAGATTACAGCAGCGGCCGCCAAGAGTAAGTAATATCTTGCCACTCGGCTCTTATTTGTGAATAAAAGACAATGTGTTGTCAATATCTCTCTATACCTCTAGTTTAAACTCCAAGATACAAGGTTACAAAATAACTTCTCTCTGACATCTTGTCCATTTGCAGGGTAGGAATTGTGAGAGGAGAGGAGTCTGGTAGCAAACAGACGCTCGTTTACGAATGTGAGTTTACTTAGTGAATCTTTAATCTTAGTTCTTGATTATCTTAGGTTTAGTTTCAGCCGCGATTGTTGGGTAAATTACTTTATCATTTATGGTCTTTATGTAGTTTTTCAACTTACCCTATGCTTGTTCTAACATTCAATTTCAAGTCTAGTTTTTCGTGTTCGAGAGTTTCCCTCGCGTCGAATAACAACTTAATTTTCAGCAATAACAGGAGGAAGGGTTGAGCCAGTGTCTGAGGGAATAACAGAAGTGCATAGCGGTTAAGCAGTTGACTAGTAGAATTTATTGATTTTTATAAAGAATTGCTGCGACCTTTAACACGTTCTTGGTACTTGACTTTCACTTAAATGTTTAGCCAAGACTGGTCTTGGCTATGCAAAATTTAATTTTTCTTTGTTTTGAGTTTGAAATTTGAATTCGATGTAAACTGTACAGAATGCAAAATGATGCTTGTATAGATAAACTTTGTCCTGTTACCAATGATAATATTTGTTTTATTTTTCTTTACTTCTAGTGAACACTCTTACTCGGTAGCATGGCATCCAAAAGATTAAGAATACAAAATAAGTATAATTAATATTGGCGCCTAAAGATGAAAAATATAAACAATAGATAGAATATTTGTTCCAAATCAAAACCTATCTTCCTGCCATTTTACAGTAACTTTAAATCGTTTCTTTGCTCTTGCTTCTAATTCATCTGCTCGCTGCTAATTTTACCTTCCGAAATATTTCTCCTAGGGTAGGGTAGCTGATGCTATTGCTAGTGAGATATGGATCAGGTTTCTAGTTCCATACAACTGCCATGTTGTTGTTAAATTTAGATTGCTTATATCTAAAGTAACTCGATATTCTCGTATTATGACTTAATCACTAAGGAAGGTTGCGAAATGATTACAATGGCACTTCTAGTTCTACCAAAACTGTACAAACGCAATAACAGTAACAATAATCAGACTAATGACTATGAGTTCTTCAACCAAATACTGACTGCTGAAACCGAGTGCGGCACGAGACTACTATGCATATTGTAATTACCTTATTGGACCTTATTTAAACGGACATTAATTGAACGCTGGAGGTCCTAGCGTTCATCTTAATGTCCGTTTAATTTTAAATAAGGTCCGTCCAAGTTAAAGTCCGTTGAAATTTGTTCCAACAAATTATTCCACTGCGAACTCATGTTTACTTTTACTTTTAGGGTATGACAACTTTTTAATTTCAGTCAATTGTAATTTCTATCATCGGATTCGGATTTTGGACTAAACTACATATCATTGGATCAATGAAAAAACGAGTTATTATACAATTTAAATATTCTAAGTATCACATTATGGCATGATCACTTTCTTAATCTTCGTTGTAGGTTTACAACCTACCAGGACGCGCGCCAAGTTGGACTCGTCGACGGTCCTGTCACCTGTATATGGAACAAATATTTTACGAGTATCACCCGTTAAAATCTTCGGCTTCCTCGATTACTTCTTCGGAGTTTCAGTTACTTACTGGGCGGCGCTCATCCTGTCATACTCATTCCGCCGAATCTTTATTCGGCGGTTTATGAACATAATATCCTGGGGTCCCCAGGTAACGGAGTTACTATTTACCTCCACATCTTGTAAAAGTTTACACTGAAATGCAGGACCGAGGTTACTGGGCCGCGCTCAGCCTGTCATTCCGCCAAATCTTTATCTATGAACATAATAGCCTGGGGTCCCCAGTGCAGGTAAGACCGAGGTGGTCTAATAAAAAAATGGTTTTCAAAAACAAAAAAGCGGGTATTACTGATGCTTTGAGCATGAATATTTAATGCACGATATCCCATTTGAGGGAGATGACCTGTGAGTGTGATATGATCATTAAATCTTATCTGGTCATATTTCGTATCTGTTGTTTTTACACAACTTTCATAATCATAGACACTGATCACAGATAATGTTTTGAAATTTTTTACTGCTTAAAGTTAACGAATGCCTTTCTTGCTCATTGTATGAAAAATTAATTTACAAATTATCTGCAAAAATAAAATTTAAAAAACGCCAAAAAAAAATTGGATTTTTGATCGTTTTTTTTACCTTCGACTTCGAGCGTTCATTTTTATGTCCGTTCATAATTATGTCCGGTCATTTAATGTCCGGTCTAATAAGGTTTGATATTGATTATAAGGTATGCCAAGTTACTAATAACAACAAATGTCCTGACTTTAGTCCCTTTACAGTATTCCCCCTTTGATCATTTTCCGGGTGCCTAATTTTTAAATGAAAATTAGGCACCGGCCGGAAAATCGGTTAACCGTTAAGATAAGGACCGAATTATTATTTAACATTGTTCATGATCTAATTATTAGTGCAGCACGATGTATAACCAAAAGTAATAAGGACTTTTGTCAAATTTATGCGTACTCCATTAATTTACCAATTTATAAAAATTTCACATGAAACGAAGTACGAACTCAGATCACGATTTCTAAATTGTGCGTGCAATAGCATTAGTTGATTAGTAATAGTATTACACAAACGCGCTGACCTTCACTGTTCACAGACCCACAATTTTGGGCAGGATCAATACTTTTAGGCAATGAATAATATTTAAGAGATTTTAGGGAGAATAAATGATAAATGAAGCAGTGAATCCGATTTTAGCGAGTGAATAGGTGGCAGTCACACATAATTCATTTAGAACGGTCCATGTAAAGTGAGTATCACGTGATCCGCCCTCGTGTTCACCCTTTTAGGAAAGCACCACCCTCGTGTCCAATTCCCAGTGAATAGGCGAAGCAGGATAATTTGACAATGAATGAGTCATTTAGATCGCAGTGGCTCATAAACATGCTCACGAGACCGTATTTTTCGACGGTGTGATTTTTTACACGTTGACGTTCTCATTTTTATGTATTTCTGTTTCCTTTGTTAAAGAAAAAGCAAATACCAAAGTAAAGATGCCGATTAACGTACCGTACAACCATGTTACTGAGTTGTACTAGTGGTCCTGTGTTTGGAAATGGCAAGTTGTGCCCCCTCAAATTGTCCCCTACGTATATTATCGAAATTAGAGGAGGTTGTGACGCAAAAGCATTCGACTCGTGATGCCACCATTAAAATGTAACATGGTGGTTAGGTTGTGAGCTCTGTGATCCAACCGCTTATAATTAGAACTCGTGAGAGCCTCTTCAGTCAAGAATCTGATTAGACAACTCTAGTTTCCACTTGACTTCTAACTTTACGGTGGCTTATAATCTTATCGAATGCTCCCCTCGCCACTAAGTTTTATGAAATATTTGGTTTAAGTTGCATATTGGCACTGTGCAGGTAGCTCATCTGGACCTGAAGACTGATCAAGTGTTTTAAATTGTGACAAATATTTCCAATTGTGTTTTCTTTCCATTGGAGGTCACGAACCTTTTGGATTTTGCAAAGATACAAATTATTTATTACATTAGAGATTTGCGATACATATTAAAACGAGGCCTTCATGTTATGGAGCCAGGATTTGGACTGGCTTTACATGTTTTCAAATTATTTGTCACCATTAAAATTAGTCATTAAAACCACCTGCAGGCACCGTCTCGGTTTACAATCAGTAATTTTATAGGTTCAGAAGTCAGAACACTTCGGCTGTTGTGTGATAATGTTAAGTGTTGAATTATGTGTTGAGGTCATGGTTCCGAGGTCATTAGTGAATGCTATCGTTGGAATGTTTTGTTATCTTGATGTTGCTTTTAGAAAGAATTTGTACAGCTATCTTTATCCTCAGATATTGCATAATTTATTTGCTGTTTTTGAATATAAATATATTTCCATCACTTGATTGTGTGTTATAAAATATAAATAGTTTATTGTTTTGTTATAAATATATACTTTTTAATGAATTTCGCTTTATCGCATGATGAAAGTTCAAAAGGTTCCTTAAAAGAGAATCATGGTTAGGATCACGTCACTTGCTTCTATCAACTTTTAGTTCACAATTAAATTAAGATATGTTGCAGGTCTTCGTAGATGATCGTTCTTGATAGAACACTTCTAATATGTCTAGTTGTGTTAGTCCAGATCCTGACCGCTACTAACCCAGGACACTCAGAACTACCAGTCCCATCGAACACCCTTAACAGTAACACCCAAACGTTATCCTTCAACCTCACCTCAAACCTCAATAACATCCTCTCCAGTTTTGAAGGGTTCGGGAATGTTACTAGCTGCAATGCTAAACTCTCTCAACTCACATCCGGTCTCTCCTCATCCAGCCCGGAGAGTATAGCGTTTATAGACGCTCTGGGTAAACCAGGTCCAGGTGTAACTACAGGGAACTTCCTGTGGCTGGGGAACTACGAGATGTGCGGGACAGGAGCACTGGTGAACGAGACTACAGGGTACAGATATAAGAACTGTGTCGTCTCCGCAGCTCTCACTCAAGGAGGCAACCCTCTTGCTCTTACCTGGACAGGCTGCAGTCCTCCCGAGTGTAAAACTAAAGATGATCTGCAGGATGTATTCAAACAGATCGCAGTTCTGATCAATAATTCAAGGATAATCCACACTGATCCTTCAACATGGAATATCATGTGCGATGTGAAACAAAAGTTCGATGCCGGGGCATATGCAGCTGTCACAATCGTCTCCCTCTTCGGAATACTAGTAATGGTAGGCACAATCTGGTACCTTCTAGAACAGACAATCATAAGCTTCTTGGAACGAGTTAAAGACTGTACCGAAGCGGATGCAGAGGAAAACACCCGCGAAGACAGTAGTCTACTGGCTAGGGAGAAGCACCAGGCTCCGAACCAGGTGGAGTCGTTCCTGGGAAGACTTGCTAAATGTTTCGCTCTGCAAAGAACGATGGAGACTCTCTTCTCCACCACTACTAAACCAGGTCAGGTTCTCTGTCTGAACGGTATCAGGGTTCTCAGCATCAACTGGGTGGTACTCGGCCACGCGTACGCATTCGCATTCTCATTTCTGGGCAGTCACTTGTACAGAGCAGAGCTCATCAAGCGAAGGAACTTTATGTTGGTCTTCAATGCTCTCCCCTCTGTCGACTCGTTCTTTGCCTTGAGTGGGTTCCTGGTGGCATATCTCCTGTTAAAGCAGCTGGCCAAAAGAGGTGGTCTCACTCCTTTACAATGGATTGCATTCTATGTACACAGGTATGTGAGACTAACGATGCCGTATCTGGTAGCCCTGCTGATTGAAGGGTGGCTATACAGACTCCTTGTGACCGGACCACGTGCACAACAAACAACACAGAGCTCTAACAACATGTGTAACCAGTACTGGTACACTAACCTCCTTTACATCAACAACTTTGTTCCCTGGAAAGTTCCCAGGGCGGGAGCCGGCACTTGTATGAGGCAGAGTTGGTATCTGGCTAATGACATGCAGTTCTTCCTGATAGCTCCCATCTTTATAGTGCTCCTGTTAAGGAGACCTTTACTAGGGGTGGTAGTCACTGGTGGTACCGTGATATGTAGTGCTCTATCCACGGCTGTCATAGCAGCGTCTTACCATCTAGGACCTGCAGAAACTACGGACAATAGCCCAGATTATTTTTGGCTGGTGTATAACAAGCCGTGGATCAGGATAACACCGTATCTAGTGGGGATATTAGGGGGCTGGTTTTATTGGAAATGGGGGAAGCAGATAACGATGGTTGTGGATTCTTTGCCGGAGTGGAGGAAAGTGGTGTGTGCTACACCAATATGGGTAGTGACGGCTGCTGTGGAGCACGGAGTGGTGTTCGGGTTGTACGATGATGTCCAGAACCTGCAGCAGAAGAGACCTATAAGCGAGGCTGACAGTGTGTCCTACCAGGGTTTAGCAAGGATAGCCTGGTCTCTGTCTCTTACAATACAGATCTTGCTTTGTCAGTGTGGTCTGGGAGGGTTCATTAACTCCCTCCTCAGTTGGAATGTTTGGCAGATCCTCTCTAGACTCACCTTCTCCGTCTACCTGCTCCACCTCGGTCTGATAACAGTGCTGTTCGGTCAGATGAGGCACACTCTCTTCTTTAACACTGACTTTGAGTTTGCTGTGTTGTATCTGGGAGTCCTGGCTATGTCTTATCTCTGTGCTGCTGTGTTGTACCTGACTGTGGAACAACCTGTCACTAATCTAGAGGGAGTTACTTACAGGAAGAGCAGTTAGCGTGGCTAGACAAATATAATACTAATATTTCAGAGGTGTCACCTTTGACCCTTCCTATCAAACAATCAACAATGATTTGAAAGAGTGACTTTCGAGATCCCTGACCTTGCACATCGAAAACATTTCATTGTATTCTCCATTGGGGCACAGTTCCCGACGTATTACTATCAGTTTAGGTATTCAAAACCATCAAAAATCCAAATTGTTTCATCTTTTTTTTTGCGTTTTTTAAATTTTAGCAAATAATAATTTGTAAATTAATTTTTCATACAATAAGCAAGAAAGGCAGTTTTTAAGGCTAAGCAGCTCAGTAAAAAATGTCAAAATATCTGTAGATCAGTGTCTATGATTATGAAAGTTGAGTAAAAACAGCAGATACGAAATATGACAAAATTTGATGATCATATCACAGGTCATCTTCCTCAAATGGGTTATCGTGCATTAAATATTCTATGCTTAAAGCATCAGTAATACCCACTTTTTGAAAACCATTTTTTATTAGACAACCTCGGTCCTGCATTTCAGTGTATACTTTTACAATATGTGGAGGTAGATATTAACTCCGAAGGGAAATTGGTAGATCACCGACCGGCTATAAGCCGGTTATAAGCCGGCTATAAACCGGCTTATAGCCGGCTACAATTTTTATAGCCGGCTATAAGCCGGCTTATAGCCGGTTAGTAGCCGCTTACATTTGTTGTTGAGCGACGGCTATTAGCCGGTTATAAGCCGGCTATTAGCCGTTTAGGTATCGGCTATAAGAAATTCAGTGAAAACGGCTATTAGCCGGTTATAAGCCGGCTATTAGCCGTTTAGGTATCGAAAGTGGTTATAAGCCGGTTATAAGATATTAACTCAACTTCATCGTACTGAACGATAGTCAGGAGCCGGCTATAAGAAATTCAGCGAAAACGGCTATTAGCCGGTTATAAGCCGGCTATTAGCCGTTTAGGTATCGAAAGTGGTTATAAGCCGGCTATAAGCCGGCTATAAGATATTAACTTAACTTCATCGTACTGAACTGAGTTAATATCTTATAACCGGCCCACCAAACCGACAGATGCCAGGAATTTTCTCCGTACTGACAGTTTCCACCCAAAACACGTGTTTAACTCCGTAGCCTTCTCCCAAATGCTTCGGATTGCTAACAGGAACTCAAGAGAGGATACACGGCAGGTGGACCTACAGCAATTGAAATCGGATTTTCGTCGTAGTGGACACGACTCAGCGAAACTGAACGCCTTAGAGCCAAAAGTGTTGGAGAAGCTGTTCAATCCTCCACCCAACTCAGAAGGAAGTGTTCATGTTCCCCAAAAAACTTCCATGGTGTTTTCAGTCCAACACCTCTCGGAGATGCCCCAGCTTAAATCAGTCTTAAATGAGTTGGAACCGGACATTGAAGCACTATTAGGCCCAACACAAATCACGGTGGCATCGAAGAAAGGCTGCTCGATTGGTAACAGAGTACTGAGAAACAGTGCTATCTGCAGAACACCGGCAGAAAATAATTCAGAGTGGACTCAGAAATGCAATGCACCAAGATGCCGAACATGCAGGCATATGTGTAGGGCAGGGGAAGAGTTTGTAGTTAATGGACAGAAGCTAGTAGTTCCTATCAGATATAATTGTAAATCTAAAAATGTTATTTATGTGGCCCAATGTAAGCTTTGTAATTTTATAAAGGAAGAAGGTTATGAGATAGTTTTAGAAGACACTTATTTCGGGCAAACAATGCAAAACTTTCATAAACGTGTCAATGGACACAGAGCCTGTTTTAAAGTAGAGGATCGTAATAAATCAGCCCTTTCGATTCATGCCTATGAACATCACAGTGACATTTTTACTATTGACAACTATAAATTTGCCATTTTGAAAGAATGTAACCCCAGGGGATTAAATGGAGAGGAATTTAGGTATATTGAGAAGTATAGAACTAATTGCTTGGGTTTAAATAGATGCAAAGTTGAAAGATAAGGTTCTTAGTTTTTAATTCTTCTTTTTTGAAGCTTCATTTTTGAAGCTATATTTTTGTGTAGTTCATCTCCATTTACCTTGTGTATTTTATTTAGGTTATTTGATTCTCGATTGTTTTGAGGCATTTTAGATCTACGTATATTTAGTACTAATAAAACTAACCAACTTAATTCCTTTGTAGCTAATGATGTAATTCAACGAAGTATACACTACATTTGCGTGTTTCACTGTCTAGCCCACCAACCATAATAACCGGCTTATAGCCGGCTTATAGCCGGCTTATAACCACTTTCGATACCTAAACGGCTAATAGCCGCCTTATAACCGGCTAATAGCCGTTTTCACTGAATTTCTTATAGCCGGCTCCTGACTATCGTTCAGTACGATGTAGTTGAGTTAATATCTTATAACCGGCTTATAACCACTTTTAATACCAAAACGGCTAATAGCAGGCTTATAACCGGCTAATAGCCGTCGCTCAACAACAAATGTAAGCGGCTACTAACCGGCTATAAGCCGGCTTATAGCCGGCTATAAAAATTGTAGCCGGCTATAAGCCGGCTTATAGCCGGTTAGTAGCCGGCTTATAGCCGGTCGGTGATCTACCAACTGGCCAAATTGTATAATTAGAATATTTAAATTGTATGATGACTCGTTTTTCATTGATCCAATGATATATAGTTCAGTCCGAATCCGATGATAGAAATTACAATTGACTGAAATTAAAAAGTTGTCATACCCTAAACATGTGTTGGCAGTGGAATAATTTTGGAAAAAAATTCAACGGACTTTAACTCGGACGGACCTTAAACGGACGGACTTTATTTGAACGGACATTAAGATGAACGCTAGGACCTCCAGCGTTCAATTAATGTCCGTTCAAATAAGGTCCGTTCAAATAAGGTCCGATAAGGTAATTACAATACATAGTAGTCGGGTGCCGCACTCGGTTTCAGCATTCAGTAGTTGGTTGAATAACTCTTAGTCATTAGTCTGATTATTGTTACTGTTAGTTGATAGCTAGATATCAACTGTCTGTAAAATGGCTTTGTGACTTAATAAACCCACATGTTTGATGTTCGTACGTTTTAATTACTTCTGATTGTCATACAGTCGTTTTATTCGGTAAAGATCAAAAATACAAGGAATATAGAACGTTCAGAAAGCAAGATCTAGCATTTGACATTGTGAATTGAGGCATTTTTAATTCAAAAATTTGTATCTTCAATTTGTCCAATGGACGGGTTCCTCTCGACGCGTGCCTGATATTTTTATGTGTTATTTATATATTTTTGTAACAATACACACATTATTAACTCACCTGTGAACTGGCAGGAAATGCCTGCTAATTAGAAGCTATATTTACATGTATATCACACGTGTGAAATATATTATTACTATTCACACTATAACTACCTATAACGTACAACTTTTCAACAAAGAAATGTGCCTTTCACTTTCACTTGTCCAGTTGTTCCAGTTAACCTTTCGTCAGATTAATTTCTCGTTCGTATTTTGATTCTTACTTTTTTAAATACGGTACAAACTTAACAGCCTTCAGGTGCAGGGTCAACGTATTATTTGACACTGCAAACAAATCGACATTTGTTTGCAGAGAGTGCCGCCATAGTGCCGCGACAGTGCCGCGACAGTGCCATCGGGATCCGGATGTATGACCAAATGTTTATAATAATTATAGGTAAAAGCGGTTAAATTAGATTCAGCTTAACTATTCGTCTGCTGCAGTTCAACTTACATTCTTCAGTTTCTGGTTCACGAATTCCACTTTGAATTCCACATTTGATGTTAATAGATCGAATCTTATACATCACGTACATATAGCCTTTATATAATTGGTGCAGTTAAGTGAAACTATGCCTTGATATGGCCTGCAAAGAGCACATTCTCTCCATTCCATGTATAGTGTATACACCTATACTTCTTACACCAAATTACGAGTAAGTCACAAGCACTGCGTTGTATTTGTAACTCGGCTCTCCTGGTTTATACATCTTCTGTATATCCGCAGTCCACACATTCGATATATAATATGCAGTGTCTATATTAAGTAAGCACATTTATATATTTCTTGCAGTTAAGACTTGAAGTCAACATAACATTAACATCGTATATTTAATGATATGTCAGATAATAGATATCGAGTTTTCAGTTTAACGCCTTTCGCTTTTGTGTAGGTTGTAGTAATTAGAGTTCTGTAATCGCTGCAAAGTTGATTTGATTTGACGCCACACTCCACACTCATAGGGCACATTGTATTATCTAGCAGTGGTGAGTGGTCTAGTTTTGTGGCTTATTACAGCGTGTATATACATGAGTACATTGTACAACTTACCTCAGTCCGCAGCATTATCTTGCTTCCTCTTGTCCCACTTTGACAGATTAGTGTCTACTGCAGTTTAACATTTCATTAGTTAGTATATATTATAGCCCGTTTGTTAGTTGTATATATAACATATTATCTTTTGACTTAGTCTAAGTATTACAAGTTGTTTTCAGTGTTTAGATGGTTTAGTAGTTAGTACGCTACTGTTAGTTAGGGCCACACACCGCCTGTAATATTAAGTCATTACAATTTACTGACGTGAATTTGGCAGTGAGCCAGAACAGGAAACTGTTCCGCTAATGCTGAAATAATTAGACTCTGAAATGCCGCTTGACTTTCTGTCATGATCATTGTGTGAGATCAGATGAGGCATCTTCTAAGCACCCAAATATTGTACGGTATGCACATTGCACAGGGCACTATGCAGCTATATAGCTACACATTGCACAGTGCACAGTGCACTATGCAGCTAGTTACTCGGTGAGTATAGGTATCTGAGTAGCTGTATAAAAAAGGTCTTAATTTAGAGATCAGCTTTCCCCTATAGGTATATAATCTATAGCCAGATATTTTCATCTAACAGAGAACAACAGAGCCGTGTTGAGTTTCTTCAAAACTCTGCTGTCATACTTGTTGTGTTAAAAACCTACATATAATAGTGTTGTCGGACGAAATTAACTTCTGAGATCACTGAACATTACAGTGTAATTTACAACCTCTCGTCATTGCTATATGATGTGTATTTGCTCATTAGCTTATGAGATTACTGAAAAATCTAAATTCCAGTGCAACTTTAACCCTTATAGTAGTAGTCCCTACATATGTTTAAACCATTTCTTGGAATTTTGATTTTATTGGTCTCTCTCTCTTTTATTTGACACATCTACCTACTATATAATATATAAATACCATTATGAACAACCCTGCGGGACTACACACCTGACAAATTGTCTGCTATCCTACACGGCTTCCTCTCTCCCCCTTAGATTATATAACACAGTTCACACGATCCCTTACATTCACCATATTTAGCTCTCTGTTGAAGTGGAGGTTTTAATATCATTTTATCCCTCTCATGCGGATCGCCTGATCATTATACGGTTTACATGATTATTACATCGTTATATAATATTATAATGCTCCTGCTGCTGTACAATTTGATTCGTCGTGATTCTGTGAATTTCAGTGACAGTTAATATATTTTGTAATAGTATCAAATTACTGTGATTGTAAATCACGATCGTTATGCTGATTAGTTTCTTCAATGTTTTACTTGCTCAGTAATAGTATGATATAATCTAATCTCATTAGAGAATATGTTTGTGTAATGTATTACAATATGGCAGCATATGTGTATATTGTTTGAATAGTTTTTGTATTTATGGCGGCAAATTCGCTGGAAAAGCTTTCAAAACGTACCGGGGCTTTTCCTTCCATACATTTATTTCATCATGTTTATTTTAGTATCATGACTGTGCTTTAGATTTAGTTTTGGGACGTTTATGTACCGTTAGTTTGTTAGCATAATTTTAGCTGGATAACATTTTGTGTCGTCCTATAATGCCCGATCTCATCCTAACTTAATATTTTCCTTATTATGTTAAGGATATATTCTCAATCTGCCACATGTCTTATACCTATATAAATGACTAATGACACCCTAATGGGGGGGGGGGGGGGGGGGCTCGGTTAGCGAAGCGAGCCGACGCGTCCAACCCAGCTGCGTAGCAAGCGAAGCGAGCAAGCTCCGGCAGGGGCCCTGGGGGCGGAAAATTTTGAGAAATAGGGTGTTTTAGACGACATTTGGCATTAAAGAAATTTGTAGGACAGCAATAAACTGGGACTGAAAAGAATCAAGTACTCACGTAAATTTGGTAACTTCACAACAGCAATCTGCATTTTCCAATCAGAATTCAGACATCACAATAATACAAAGTTGGGGATCCAAAGTTACAATATTAGTACTGTGGTACTACTGCTCTTTAATTTTTCGCTGGAAATTAAGCACTAAGCTAATGCCAAAATGTCTTACCAGTCCCTACCGAACACAGTACTTGCCACATTGAATGGAATAAGTACATGTATAGTGGGATTTGGGAATAATTTACGAAATACTGAAGTCAATTGCCTGCCGTTTAAACAGTATACATGACAGACTGCAGTCATAAACACAGCCCAGTTACCAGGCGACCATGGGGACTAGGTTCAATTTTTCCGGGGGGGGGGGGGCAGTAGCCCTTCTGCCCCCCCCCCTCCCCCCCCCTGGCTACGTGCCTGGTCTTGGTATGTAGTTTGTTTTTTATTCTAGCGTGTGTAATAGTCTGTAACCATTTAAAGGAAGCAGAATTGTAAGTTAATTTTCTCGTCCTATAGACCTTGGCCTTCTCAACCATTGTTCCATATTGGTTTTAAATCGTGCTCTCTGATAAAAAATTTTAGATTAGATTAGATTAAGAATAATTATAACATAAACATCATCACTAGTTTTAAACATTCTTCCAGATTTCTTCATTACCAGAACTGTGAACATTTCACAGCCTTTGTCATTAAAAAACAAAGTTTAATTGTCATAATCAAGACGATCACTACTCCATGGAGTAGTGATCGTCTTGATTATGACAATTAAACTTTGTATATATATATGCATATATTACAATTATGTATTAAATTGATATATTATTTACATCTCGTCCACCCTATTCGCCTTTACTGGCTCATCACTCATTGGCCAATACGTTCATTTTCGCAAGATAATTTTTAATAAATTACGACAAAGAATGTCGTAATAATGTTGAGAAAAATACAAAAGAAATCAGAGAATCTTAACTCTTTAGGCTGCTGACTGCTGATTATCCGCCAACCCAAACTTTCATGAGAGCAGTGATGAGGGGTCTGTCTTATTGTAACACCCTGTATTTGTAAATGGAAAGTCTGAATCCTGTATCCGTGTTTCCAGCAAATCAATAAGTATGCGAATCTATCTGCGAATCTACCTGCGAATCTATCTGCGAATCTATCTGCAGTGTTTTGACAACAATTGAGTTCGCAACACCCAAACTTTCTCTCCCGATCATGGCACAGTATTGATCACCGACCAGACTGGCAAACAGAACTGTACCTGCTACACAGACTAGCACCAGTACACCTGGACTGGCAAACAGAACTGTACCTGCTACACAGACTAGCACCAGTACACCTGGACTGGCAAACAGAACTGGCGCACAGATACTTTGTACTTTTTCGATAAACCAAAACATATAACAGCACAATCAATATAATAATATATATTAATTAATATTAATATCTCGCTATAAGCTCACTTATCTGAACTATGTGTTATATCCGGCGATATTCCTCAGTTTCTATTGTACTAACACCTCTTTGTGGTTGCTCCTTTATTCTGGTGAGGTTTGCCCTTAATCCCTCCATTGTGAAGCTTCATCACATGCATCGTCTATCTTGATGTCTTCTTTGTTTCCCCTGACATTGCAAGAATAGAATTTGAATACCAGGCAAATGTGTTTTTAAACTTACCTGTTGTATTTTACCTTTAGCCATTCTGCAGTTGATTATTTAGTGTCGAGCTAGCTTAGTTGAATTAGTAGCTCCCTCCACCGATCATCATCATCATGCGTACTAAAAATCTGATCAACTCTCTGTACATTAAAAAGAGGACTAATGTGAAAGAGGTCGACGCGGGCTGGGTCTCAAGAGAAGAGAAGAAGAAACAGGAGAAGATACAAAGCCACATGGCCACGGAGAGCAAGAAACTCAAGTTCCAGGTGGTCACATACAATGTTGCGGAGCTGGCTAAACCTGACGGGGCTGACTTAACTTCCATACTAGCTCTTGAGGACAAACCAGATGTTATATCCATCGGGTGAGTCGCACAGATATTAGGCTCACCCACAATTAACTCTGTAGAATTAGTATCTTTCGATTTTTATGAACAGCATCTTTTTGCTAGGCAGTTTCTTTTCATCAGATGTTAATCAACAATTTAGAATCCCATTCTAGTGACTTAATGTAATTCCACTCAGGTTGGAAGAGTCAGGAGATTTTGATTTTATACCAGACGAGGAGCACAAACAAGACCCCTGGTGCAAAAAGTTTGATTCCCTTCTCTGGGGGCGTGGTTATTACGTTGTTGCCCTTACTTCGGTCTTTCAGGTTGATATTTTCTGCAATCCATAGTCCATACTTGAAATTTGAAGGCGTGTACAAGTTTTAAACACTTATAAAATATCATATCGTGCCCCCGAACATAGGTCACACAATCTCGGGCGATAATTATACAGGGTAGGCCCAAATATAACATTATATTGATCTCAAATCTCTACTAAAGATAAAGTTGCGAGTATACATCAAGAAAGAGCACATGCGGGCAGTCAGTCACGTGGAAGCAACTACCTCAAAGAGTGGCTTCGTCGGTAGGTCGTACCTTATTCGAGTTTAAAGGGTTTATTCTTATTTTCTTGGATTCTTTTAAAAATTATTATTCCGATTTAAATCGGCTGAATGGCACGTCCAAATTCCTTATAACCACAAATTTTTGAACAGGTGGAGTGTCGAACATTTTCAAAGGAGCAGCAACGATCAGGTTTCGTCTCTACGGTAAACATGTCGCCTTCATCAACTGCCACCTCACTGCCTTTGATGCCAGGATACTCGACAGGAATACAGAATACTGGCAGTTCTTCGCTGAACAGGTATGCATTATGTGTTTCCTAAACCACTCGCCCAATTGAACATAAAAAGCTTCTTTATTTCTCAACCTATAGATATTTCTCGTAGATATTTCCCGTAGCAACTAGCAACAAGAGAACTAGCAACAACTATAGCAACAACTATAGCAACAACTACTAGTAACTATAGCAACAAGAGTTAATGTTCCCTCCAGGAGTTCGCAGACCCACAGTGCGAGGAATTGTACCAACACGACTATGTGATCTGGTCGGGAGATCTCAACTACAGGGTAGCCTTTGACAACCTGGAAACTAGGAAGATGGTTGCAGATGGTAGACATCTAGAACTTGTCCAGTACGATCAGCTGAAAACACAGCAGAAAGAGGGATTAGCCTTCGTGGGATTTGAGGAGGGAGAAATCACCTTCCCTCCATCCTACAAGTTTGATATGGGTTAGTTGTGGCTATCTTACTATTACAAAGTTACAAGTAGCCACTAGTAACTACTTGACACTAGTGGTTAGTTGTGGTAAACCCAATCAGCATTTTTATTTGTATTATATAAATGTGTAATTGTGTAATGCAATTATGATTGTGATTTAACTAACTAATCAGGAACGGATATTTTTGATAGTAGTAAAAAGCAAAGAGTACCGTCCTGGTGTGACAGAGTTCTCTTTAGGACAAAGGTAGGCAAAAATATATTTATTAAATACCGTACCGCAATTTACGATTTTAAAAACTTAGATTTTAACTCGCCGTGTCGCATGTAACTGTTATGCACTCTCTATAAGTTAATCCTGTTAAAAAACTGTTATGCACTCTCTATAAGTTAATCCTGTTAAAAAGCTGTAAAATAAGCCAGATTGAAAAGTGATTAGAAGGCCCTTTTAACGAACCTGTGCTAAAAGTGGTGAGACTTATTGCAATGGGTCTCAAGATTAAAAGATTTTCAGTTCAGTACAATTAATTTCAGGGAGATCGAGAGATAGCAGCGAACACTGTAAACTGGGATCCGACATTAAAGAATTTGAGTGATTCAGACAGTGAATCGGAAGAGATCTCCAAGAAAAGTGACCTGGTGTCACCAAAACCAGCGAATAAATCCAAAAAGTCGCGCACACTTTTCAAAAAGAAGGTATTTTCAAAGATAATCAGTCAGTGTCCACGTTACTTATTCTCATAATCTCACTATGCATATTCTCATAATCTCACTATGCATATTCTCATAATCTCACTATGCATATTCTCATAATCTCACTATGCATATTCTCATAATCTCACTATGCATATTCTCATAATCTCACTATGCATATTCTCATAATCTCACTATGCATATTATTATTCTCATAATGTAAGTTTTTCTCACAATCTACCCAAAAATCAGCTAATATTGGTCACGGTTAAGTGTTGAACAGTAGCAATAATGTTGTATTCTAAACATCGATATTTTGGTAACCAGGAAACTTGTTAATATATTTATCTGGTAAACAAACTTACGTGTGTTATAACGTAACTAGATTAACCATTTAAAATGGCTGTTTCGCAAAATAAGTGATACAAAAATGTTGTGTCAGGTGATGAGGAAGAAAGACCACTGTCTCCGATCGGAAGAGATGAGAAGGAAGACCCTGGGTGTTCTACGTATGATGCACTTGACAAGCTCTGCAAAGGCTGATGCCCAGGCCAAGATAGAGTTAAAGTTCGGGGATTTTAATGACAGTGAACAATTCCAGGTTGGTCTAGGGAAAGCAAGGCTTTACTTTTATTTAAACTGACATTTATTAGCCAATGTTAACGTGTGTATCATTAATTTCTGAACAAGCCCAGCTTACCTTTTTACAGGAACTGTTAACGAAGATAGATAACGAGAGTAAGAAAGTAACCCCTTCAATCGAAGTGATATCCTACAAAAGCTACCCAGAGATCAAGATATCAGACCACAAACCTGTAGCAGCCCTACTGAACGTCGTCATGCCCTCCAGCCAAGGTATCCGACAGTTGGAAATGGAACCACAACACGCCACATGGTTTAAGAAGAAATCCATGAAGATCCACATAAAACACCTAGGTATATCAGGTAAGATAAGCCCTGCAAGCTGTGGTCACTGGGTTGGACTCTACAAGAAAGGGTGGGTTAACAAGTCTACCTACTTTACCTCTGCGTACGTCCAGAAGAAGAACAAACCAAAAGGGGGATATGATCTAAAAGCTAAGTTTGGGACTAGGGCTCACCCTGGTGAGGGGGACGCTATTGAAGCGGTGTACTTCATGTCTAAAGACGCTTCGGAACCTGCTGCTGTTATACAAGTTAAATGTGGATATTTTGTGTGATCAATGTTAACAGCTGACTGACCCTTAGAGAATAAAGATTTTCGAACTTTGTGGCCCGTCAGGAGTGGGGTTTTATCTAATTTCAGTTGGAAATATTTCATATGTTAATAGAATGTCGTTATAAATTAACGAGTTGTTGAAGTGCAAACTGGTACTGGTACTATCATTCATCAAGAATACGATATTTTGTGAGAATCAAGGCAAGGCTATATTTAGGGACAGATATTGGCATTGCTTCTGTTTGACGGCCATTAAGCTAGCCATATAACTGTATCTACAGTGTAGTCTCATATATAACTCGACCGATATAGAAATATATTCAGCGGTGACGTGACCTATTTATCGTCCACAAAGATCACATTTGATAAAGCTATCTCGGTTAGGCATCAAACTTAAGTCAAAGTTTTAAAATATTCATAGATTTAGTTGAATCGCCAACAATTAGCGTCAATGCAGTTTATATGTTTTACGGTTAATATAATTTACGGTTAATGTAATATGCATGGTTCGTCAAATTTAATATTCGTTAAAAGAATGATAATTCAGATCTCGATTACCGTTTGAAAAAATACGAAATTCAGCAAGTCTTCGAAATTTTAACTATATTGGGGAATTGATCCCGTCGGCATTGCATTGATCCTGAGACATGAATTTGATAATTAAGCATGATATGGTAAAGCATGCTACAATATATCTTTAGAGTTACTATTTACAGTCATTAATCTCCACTTATACATTTAATTCACCAAACTAATGTATAACAAAAGAATACTGGCGAAGGTTTGATGAATTACAATTACTAGTCCACCATGGCGAATTTGCAAATTGTGTGCTACACCACTATCAGAATTTACAACATGATGCTTGCTTTGGCATCAAGTTCGTGCGATTTGTCATTGGGTTTTTATGCTTAAAGTTTTATTTTGAATTTAATTGACTGAAGTTTATAATACTTTGATATAAAGGAGCAAAAGAATGTTTCCACTTATATGAAATTACTTGATTTTTATTGTTTTGCACAACATGAACAACTGAATTAAACAGGAATTGAATAATATGTATATGAATTTATGCACTATGCGGTATGGTTCATTAAGGTAGTATATGGCCTAATTTCCATACCCAATTCGAAAACATCCATTGTCAAAACAGTATAGTTATAAGGCACATTATAATTTGAGTCTGTTATGGAAGAATAATTAAAACTGAAACCATGAGTCTTATACACAAGTTACAGTAGTATCTTCGTCATTGAATATCGATATCAATTTAAACGGATATCATCGATAATATAACTCAATATACATGCAGGAGCTGATGAAGCTTCAGATCATGTTTAAGTTATCATACTGCACATAATATTCGCTGCATCAAGTTAAATAGTTTCATATGCTGCAGAAAAGTGCCGGCGAATATTAGAATTTGATGGAGTGATCATGACTTACTCGGGGTATCTTGACATTATTAAATAAATACTTGTTAAATACTAGCGTTATTACTAAACTAAAACTCAGAGTTCGGGCTATCTTGAAATCTACCGTGTTTCTTGCAGTTTAACAGTTAACACGTGCTGCATACTTCGAGTTCCAACTTACGAAGGAAATTTTGATTTTGATCTCATTAAACAGTCTACCCAGCTAACTTATTTACTAATATTATGTTAAAGTCATATATTAACATAATATACTCAATATATGATATAGTCATATATTGCTATAATTAGCAACATGTCTGTTAATAATATTTATTTATTTTGTGATTTTGTGGCCAATTTTGTATTTCATCATACTGGTCAAAACGCCATAGAAGCATTCTACCCAGCCAAAAACGTTTCAATGGTTTATCTCTCACTGTTTTTGCGGAAAGCCGTGCTAATGTTTCTGTAACGTATGGAATTGTTTCATTTTATTGGCAATCTATAATGTTGGTCATGGGAGCACACTGGAGGGCCATATAAGCAGTATAAGATTGGAAATATGACCGATATAACCAATATATCTCATTCGTCAGCGGAGTTTTATGAATATCGCACGTATTTGTGACCGTCTATCATTGGCGGGATATTGTTCAATACCCCCAGTCACCAGTCACGAGAGCCAGAACGCGAGATTAAACTTGACTTTGAGTGTTCCTTGTTCCTCAGATAATATTTAAGTGCTAAAATGGTCCTCGAGGGCTTTTAATTTGTCACGAGGATTGTTCCCCAACCTGTCGGATGTATATATTTATATGATGGGGTGGCTGGTGTCGGTTAAAGGTTGTCGGTTATATTATATTAGCACGGCAATTAATGTTAAGTCAGTTTACCAACATGAGAGTGAGATAAAGTTTGTCGTCAGCTCGATTCTGCCTATTTATTCTGCTTATTATTTTTGTCTCGTATATAAATATTACCGAAATCAGACTTTTGTGACTGCCTTGATTTTAAAGTTTATATTCAAATGTTTATAATTATATCCATTCAAAATCTTATAAACACAAATCACTGTCCTCATATATACTTATAATATGAAAGAAAATCAAAATGTAATTATCTTACAACTATTTAATTACCACGTACTATATTAGTATTACCAAATGCCTCCGCAATCCTAGTCCTACGTATTGAAATCCTCGCCAATCCCAGCAGACGTTAATTATCGTACTCGTAAGTACAAAGTTGTGGGGATCGCTTTATACCTTAGCGGTCATATTTATCACGGACATTACTTTCAGTTTCACGCTGAAGACCTTAGCGTGAATAATTATTTCCGTGAAAATAATGTCTGTGGCATTATTAAGGTCCGTGAATAATAAATTCCGGTAATTATTTCCATCAATTTTAGTGTGTTGTATGTGTCCCTACATATGTGTAGATAATGATTTGTGTGTAGCCGATTATTATATTAGCTTATTAGTATCAGAGCTCGGCCGGGATTTGGCGTTTTTGTCCGCCAAATTGTTAAGAATCGAACTAATCGAATTCGAAATGAAAATCGAAACTCGAAGGATTGATGAGATTTTTAGGCTCATCTTCATCCGAAGATATTATAACGATGTTGATATCAATTTTGTCATCCTCTGCTTCTCTTAGTTCTCTAGCAGGTGGCAAATTATTACTTGTGCCACTGTTTGGGCCATAGTTTCAACATAGAAATATCGTAAAAATCACAAGAAAGTTTCACAATTTCTTGAAAATTTTTGGGCGTCATGAGGGTGAATAATTGTGTCCGTGAAAAACTTGTCCGTGATAATTATGTCCGATAAGGTAGTTATGAAGCTGAATGTAATGATTACTACCTATTTTTACTGATTTGAAATGGTATCTACTAACCGCGTGGTTGTTACTTCTAGTAGTAGTAATGGTTTAAACACCGAGTACCATGTATTTTTCACTTAATGAGGTTACCTGATAACAGTAACACTATTGCTCCGCTTCGTTGGGAACACATCATCGTACTGAACTACACATAGTACAATAGTATTATAGTATTTCAAATTGCTGACCTGCGTCCTGAATGAGGCCTCTTAATTACTGATTGGGAATCGAGCGGTTTACTCGATTAATGTTTACTCAAAATTATAATACAAACAGTAATAGATATAAAATAGTAATGTTAAAGAATTCTTTTTAAAACAAACCCTCTGGAAAGGGCACTGCACACTGTTATCAAAAAGTACACTGTGATCATGAAGTACTATGAACTACAGATTTAAAAACACGACGCTTCACGCTACACATGATATTACCCATCCATAATATCGATCCTATAGGTTAAGAGGTCTAGACTGTCTTAGGCCAGGAACAATGGAACATTGTGCAGTAGGAATGGTTGCCACTCGTTAACATCACCATCACTTTGAAGATTAAGTAGCATTTTCTTGGCACTAGTCTTGAACAGATTTATCGAAAATAATGTCGGAAGTGTAGTAACGTCTGCTTTGTCTGCGAAGACAGAGAGCAGTGGTCCCTTGTAGTAAATACTGTTTTGAAAGTGTCTTTTCCCGTATAACTGGAGCCAGGAGCAGGCTGACGTGTGATCAGAAAGTTTTGTAGGTATGTCGGCGGGAAAAGCTTGAGAGATGTTTTTGGGGACTAATTGTGCAGGCACGTAGCCAGGGGGGGGGGCTAGGGGGGCGGCAGCCCCCCCCCCCCCCCCCCCCCCCCCCCCCCCCGGAAAAAATTGAACTTCAGAAAAAATAAGCCCCCTAGTCCCCTGCATGGTCGCCTGGTAACTGGGCTGTGTTTATGACTGCAGTCAGTCAAAGATTTGAACTGTGGATTAGTAAATATCTGTCATAACATCCAAGCGAAAATTCTAGAATACTTCTATAAATAGTCAATACACAGTACAGTGTACACGTCTAGCTGTCTGCTGTTTCATATTTGGCGGAATATTATTATATCAGGTTACCACACGTGCGAGACGGAGTCGCGCACACTTGCACATGCCACATCAGTACATTAAGCTAATATACTTAGTTCTTACACCCGCTCGGCAGTCGGCGTGTGTACACATCTTGTATTTGCTCTGTCTGTTCTCTACTACCTATTATATATAGTATAATAAAATTCAATACGTATCAATTTAAAAAAGGCTTCTGATTTTTGTTCATGATTCTGCTTTTTGTATTTCGTTGTTTTAATAACTGTCAAATGCAGTCTGCACTTAACAATATATCGATTTTAAATTATCAAATTTTCTGCTTCCCAGGCTAGTAATGTCCACTCTGAGGGCATTTTTCAAGCCCAAGAAAGCTCGTTTAGAGGACGAAAACCCTGAACAAGAGCCCGAGGATATCGATCTTGTTGATCCATTCGATCCTGTTGATCCAGTCGATCTTGTTGATCCAGTCGATCTTGTTGATCCAGTCGATCTTGTTGATCCAGTCGATCTTTGTGTTCCAGTCGATCCTGTTGATCCAGTCGATCTTGTTGATCTAGTCGACCTTGTTGATCCATTCGATCCTGATGATCATGTAGACCCTGTCGATCCTGTAGAACCTGTTGACACAATTATTGAGCCTGACGTCAGAAACGTACCGATTGATCATGCAGAGTGCAAAGCAGATATTGCTGATGCCGTTGGGAAAGAAACCTTCGATGATAAAGACCTTGAGAGGTTTTTGAACTGTTGGACCCCCACCTCACAAAGCGAACTTCCCACCTCTCGGCATGGAAAGAGCACAAGGAGGCTTCTAATAAGCCATGTCCAAGATCCAATTTACAAAGACTGGCTCTGTGTATCGAAGAAACAAAGCGCTGTTTATTGCAAACCCTGTGTCCTTTTTGGTTCTCAAGCTCATGCACCTGGTAAGGGTCGTGGAAAGGGCAGAGGGCAGAAGCTCACCACTCTGGTCACCAAACCGCTGATTAAGTTCCATGACCTGAAAGGAAAGTCTGGCTTATTGGACTCCCACATGGAAAAGGATTTCCATTTGACATCCATGAATCTTATGGAAAATTACATAAATGTAATTGAGGGTAAAAAAGAAGACATCAGAAACACTATCAACACGTCCAGAGCAATCCAAGCTGAGTGCAATCGAAAAGCACTTGTGTCTATTGTCGACACAGTGTTGTTTCACGCCAGACAAAATATCGCCCTCAGGGGAAACACAGGTGAAGTAGGGGTCGTTAACAGTACAGGAGATGAACCGTCTACAAATGATGGGAATTTTCGGGCGTCCCTTAGAATGAGAATCAGGGCTGGTGATGAAGCTCTCAAGAAACACTGTTTGTCTGCACCTAAAACTGCAACACTCATGTCTGCCGACATCCAGAATGAGATAGTAAATCTCGTCAAGACTATGGTAATTGAAAGGATTGTAGAAAAGGTACGCAAGGCTGAGTTCTGGACAATCCTTGCTGATGATACTACGGACAGATCAAAGAAGGAACTGACAGCTATCTGCATCCGTTACTTGGAGCAGAATGAAAATACTGGAGATTATATATTGAGGGAAGATCCCATCGCTATAGTTGATTTGTTGGATATGATCAGGATGGTACTTGGTTTGAATGACGTCGGTGAAGACGAACTGGTGATGTCAGGTGTGAACATTGCTAGAGTCCTGGTTGATGTTGTGGAAAAACTAAAACTGGACCTGAACTTGTGTATTGGCCAGGGATATGATGGGGCATCAAACATGAGCAGTGAGCGTGTTGGTGTTGCCGCGGAGTTCAAAAAAAGGGCTCCCAAAGCAGAATTCCAGCACTGTATGATGCACCAGATGAATCTTAGTGCTGGGAGTGCCATAAAAGATGTGTTTATCAACAAAGCCCACGCTCTGATCAAAAAAATAACACAATTCTTCAATCGTTCCGCAAAAAGAGTGGAACATCTGAAGACAGTTATCCGAAGAGCAGAAGATTCCCGGATATCAAAGGATAAACTGACCTCTCTCTGTACAACCCGATTCCTAGAGCGTCACAAAGCAGTACAAGTTTTGAGGAACCTCCTGCCGTATGTTTTTGATGCCCTGACCGACATGACCTCCTGGAGTAGTCCAGAAACTAGGTCTGGTGCCTTTAATCTCCAATGTGCGATAGACAAGGCTAACTTCTTTGTTAGCCTTGTGATGTTGGAGAATCTGACAGGACTGCTTCTCCCCCTGACGACAATGATTCAGGATAAACAGATAGACATGAGTGGATGCATGGAGCAAACAAAACTTGTGAAAAAACAGTTGGCAGATATGAAAGAGCCACATCACTGGAAACGCATGTACGAGGAGGTGGTATTGCTTGGAGAACGTATGGGTGTTGAGATTAAGGTACCAGGGCCAAGATCAAGAATTGCAATAAACCAGTACACTAAGACGTCAGATCCAGAAGAACATTATCATAAGGTTTGGGTTGGAGCTGTCGGGAATGTCATACAAGATATGAATGCCCGCTTTGGGGAGGAGAAACAGAATGTGGCAGCCCTTGAGCAGTTAATCCCTGCAAAAGCACCAGAACCTGACCAGTCAGCGGAGGTAACAGGAAAACTTGTGGAACATTTCGAGGATTTTTTGGATGTTGGTTCCATTTTACTAGAGCGGGAGGTCAATAGGTGGCTGCTTCACTGGCAGCCTCTGAGCAAGAGTGACAGACCAAGAACAGCATTATCTGCACTGAATAGTGCTAAGCTGTACCCTTCAGTATCACATCTACTGAAGTATCTTGCTACCTTGCCAGTTTCGACGGCAGAGCCTGAGAGGACGTTCTCCAAGGTCGAAAGAACTAAAACAGCTATAAGAGCTACCATGACTGTCAACCGAACCCATATCCACAAAGTTGGCAAACCCACCAGATATCTGGGAGGAAATTTGGGAAGAATGAGGAAATTTTTGGCATCTGAGAGGAAATTTCTTGGTTAGCGACTGAAAATTGCAGTCCGCAAAGAGCAGTTCAATCATTGGGTATCGAGAGGAAATTTTTCCTCTCTAAATGACTTAAAATTCGTGCCACCTTTAATTTTAATTTGTCCAATGTTTTGAATCCAAAATATTACCGAGTGTCTAATCAACTACTTTGAACCTTCTCTATTGATATCCTATTGGTCTATCATATAATCCAGTTAAAAATTTTCCGGATGCTGCGCCCCCTGCCCTCTTAAAATATTACTAATAACCAAGTGTCTAATCAACTGTTTTGAACCTTCTGTATTGATATCCTATTGGTTTAGCATATAATCCAGTTAAAATTTTCCGGGGGCTGCGCCCCCGAGCCCCTGCCGCAGTAGCCTCGGAGCCGGCGCTTCGCGCCGACTCCTCGCCCACCCCTTCTAAAAATCCTGCACACGCCCCTGTTGGAAAAGTAACTTAGCCGCTGCGAGCGAAGCGAGCGGGCCACAGAAGGGTCTGAAAATGGGTTTGGGAGGAAATTTTTAATTATGTGGATATGGGCAACCGAATGGAGAATCTCGTCCTCATCATGAGCCACAGAGAAATTCTTCCCACTGCAGAAGAAATCGCCCAAAGATTCATCAAGACATCCTCAAGGAGACTTGTTTTTTAAATCATTATTATGAGTTCATTGTTTAAGTGACAGACCTTAGACCATATTGGTCCTTTTAATTTTTAATGAAGTTGTTGCAACTAGCAAGAAATATGTATCTGATATCTTTAATCTTAATAAGATTGTTGTTTGAACTTTGAATGTTAAGTTATTCTTGTTTTAGCCAAATTCAGCTCGTGTTGTTTCATGTTTGTTAATTGTTTAAAATTTAAACGAGCATTTTTTCCCTGAACTGATACCTACCTCATTTATCATAAGACATTTGTATTTTGTATTAGAGAAACGTTGTTAAATTTTTCATCGTTGTTTACTTTGTTAATGGTTGCTTAATGCTTTCCATAATCTGCATTGACAATTGATGTTCAGTGTTTTTAACAATTATTAATTTATTGACTATGACTATCATACATTTTCAAACCTATTACTATTTACTAATTTATTCATTATTTACTATAACTATAATATATTTTCAAACATAATATTTCCTATTATAGATTCGGGCTCCTTTCTTGTTTCTACATGCAAATGCCAAATAGTACAAAGTACAGTAAACATAGTTTAAAACTGTGCCTCAAATTTCAATCATATCTTTCTTGATTCTTTCATACTTTGCAGTAAGAATCTGTTGATTGCAAAACCTGGTTATTCTTATTTCTTAATCGCTAAATTTATATTTCTTAAATCATTCTTGTCCCCTAGACCGTAGGAAATGTAAAAATCTGAAGACGATGAGGCCTGAGCCCTGAGTAAGTCGTAAATTCTGATTGGAGAATGCAGATTGCTGTTGTGGAGTTACCAAATTTACGTGAGAACTTGATTCTTTTCAATCCCAGTTTATTGATGTCCTACAAATTTCTTTAATGCCAAATGTTGTCTAAAACACCCTGTTTTGCAAAAAATTTTCCGGGGGGCTGCGCCCCCCTAGCCCCCGCCAAGGGGCTCCGCCCCTGGACCCCGCTGGGGGCTGCGCCCCCAGACCCCTGCCACAGCTTGCTCGCTTCGCTCACTGCGCAGCTGGACTCGACACGTCGGCTCGCTTCGCTCGCCAACAGCCCCCCCCCCCCCCCCAAAGAAAAATCCTGGCTACGTGCCTGTAATTGTGGCATGTTTTTAACTTTATGCATCAAGATAATTGAGTTGTAAACGATAAGACCATGCACAGTGAGAATTTCATGTTCACTGAAAAATGGATTACTTTTGGATACTTAATTACTTTGTTATTCATACTCCAGTCCAGCAAAGAATTTTCATTAGGGCAGCTGTAATTGCTCACCGATGGGTTATCTGGAAACTGTTTAAGAAATGCTAATAGTTTTGCTTTGAACATCAGTGGGTCTTTAATGAGGTTCACGTACTGTAGTGCGACACGTACTGTAGTGCGACACGTACTGTAGTGCGACACGTACCCTAGTGCGAAACCTCCAAGATCGACACTGTCGCACTAGAGTACGCTACCTGGATCGTAGTGCGACACGTACCCTAGTGCGACAGAGAATTTTCAAGGCCGACACTGTCGCACTACAGTGCGCTACTTGGACTGTAGTGTCACTCATGACAGATTGAGGGTCGACTCCAAATGCAAGGAGCTCATCCAAGAGGGCTTCATAATGAGCCTGTGTATTTCCGGGGAGTAAGCCGAATGCAAGGCGAATTCAGTGCATCGCCAGTAGGTCTTGTCGTCGCGCTTCTTATCCAGGCAGTAGCGGTATCCGTCGTGGATAACGTTTCTTGAACCAGTAGTGCGTCCAGAAATGAAGATGATTGAAGAAGACATGTTGATGTTGTTCGATGCTTTGGTAGAATCATCGTGACCTTATATATATGGCCCAAGCATATGAACTTATTATCTCAATCGATGATATACGATGCGTGTAATAGGAATGAGGATCATATGCTGCTTACGAGTTACCCAGTGGATCACACACTGCCTACGTGGCTTGAACTGACCCGAAGGAATTATGATCAGTGGATCACTTCGAAACACGTGATGTGATCCGACGAATCGTATTCGCAAGATCACTTCAAAATAAATCCATAAAAAGGATAGGATGTGACCAGAACTTGGAAATAAGTCAGGATATTTTGTCGCACTAGAGTACGCTACCTGGATCGTAGTGCGACACATACTGTAGTGCGACAGAGGGTGTTTTTGTCGGACTTCGCACTAGAGTACGTGTCGCACTAGAGTACGTGTCGCACTACAGTACGATTACCCTTTAATGAGGTGAAAATCTGATGGAATGAGGCCTCTTAGTCAGCTCCGGGACAGGATTAGGAATAATATTAAAGTTAAACGTTCTGATAGACAGACAGAAACTTGAGACAAAGCTCAATATAAATATTAGCGAACAGATAATTTGTCAAGGAAAAGGTGTGGTATAATTTCCACGAATTTGATCACCCACTTAGATCGGGCTATTAAAACCACAGCCGCCGGTCCCTCGATATAACCTTCTTAATAATTATAGTTAAATCTGTATACTGTGATGAGCCAAAGATAAGGCGTGCCTACATAAATAACTCATATAATTTTATAGGTAGACTTTGCAGAACGAGGTTAAGTTTGTCGTTTAGGAAGTCTTTGTGGAATATTTGTTTAGTTTTATTAAGCTACATGAATGAACTTGATTCATTATAGCCATGATCGTCGAAATTTTCGTCTCAAAGATCAATTGAACGTTTAACCTCGTAGAATTTAAAGTAGTAGAAGTTGAGTAATTGTTAGTCTGAATTTAATTCCAATGCCGGCAATTCAGCCGACTAATTCACATCGTTTTGCACTTGAATCCAGAGCAAAGATATCGATACCCAAATATCAGAAGTTATACTTATAGTATAACACTAAAAATAATAGTTTTATTGCAAGTACGGCTTGGAGTTATACTTTTACAATATATATTATATCATTTTATCAAATCGTTTTTAATCGTGTTATATCGTTAATCAATATCGTTAATCAATATCAGAGGCACATATTAGGTGCGATGGGTGCGGGATCGCACAATTTACCGTTTCCCACACATTTCCGCATAATTTATTGTTTTCCGCACATTTTGTAATTTTCTGCATATTTTCGCATAATCTAGCATTTTCCGCGTAATTTCGCATAATTTTGAAATTTTCGCGTTAAGATTTTTGAGTATAAAAACCAAAATATGTTAAAAGTCGGGCCCTTTTAGGACCGTGACTCAGGCCCTTTCGGGACCCTGACCCAGGCTCTTTCGGGACCGTGACCAAGGCCCTTTTGGAACTCATACCTAGGCCACGTGACCCAGTTACCACGTGACCCAGGCCCTTTCGGGACCCTGATCCAGGCCCTTTCGGGACCGTGAATCAGGCCCTTTTGGAACTCATGCCTAGGCCACGTGACCCGGTTACCACGTGACCCAGGCCCTTTCGGGACCGTGACCCAGGCCGTTATGGAACCCTCGTCGTTACCGTACTTCGATTATAGTGTATCAGTTATTATTCGTAACTTCACCACATCATCTGATTACTCTTGAGAAAATGCAAAAGAAAACCGCACAATTCCCGCACAAATTTCGAAAAAATCGCCGCACATTTGCCGCATAATTGGTAAAAATTTACCGCACCTTACCGCACATTTTACCTTTGTAGTCGGGTGCGGTACCGCATAATTTCGATTTTTTACCGCACCTAATATGTGCCTCTGATCAATATTGACAATATTAAATGTTTTCGCTTACAATTTAACGCTAAATCGTAGGAGTATTTTAAGACTTCATGATTTAATTTTACACCGCGAATTCGCGTCGGTTCCTGAGCAAAGGATATCGCTCCGTTTATAAAATTTGCTTTTGGAAATAGAACTGGAGATCCATTGCACATGCACATTGGCTCGGTCTACAATTTTGTACAACTTACTGAGTCAGAGTGAGGTAGGAAAAGTGTTCAGTATTTCATGGCTTACTCTTGTGTGTTTATTTTATTCCAGGTTTTAAAATTCAATAATGCAAAGTCAATATTTTGTCTGTTATAAGTTAGTATAAAATGAAGTCAAAATTTATATACTCTTGGTTAATGAAGTCGCCTGACGGCTTTATTAGTCCGTAAATACAGTAAGTACTTATTGTACTTAAAATTAAATACATTGTCAATAAGTAGTATTACTGTACTTATTGACATTGTACTTACTTTATTTAGTATATTATAGATTTTGAGTTCAAAGTTCCGGAATTTTTCATTAATTTGTTTCGTCATAAAACCTTACCTGAGGACCCCAGGCTTTAATGTTGGTAAACAACAATAGTTTGAATAGAGATTAGGCGGAATAGAGATTAGGCGGAATGACAGGCTGAGCGCGGCCCAGTAACATAAAACCTTGGTAATTTTATTCTTA